GAAATTTTTTCTTTAGTCAATAAAATCATAAATGTTTGAGGATCTTCTACATAGAGAACACATCTTCTCTAACAGAAACACTTTAGAGTTGCCTGTCTAATTTGTTTACTTTTTACTTCTTTTTACTTCTTGCTCTGCCGGCACAGGGGAAATGCCTTTTTTGTACATATTCATCTGATCATGTGCTCATTGTTGCCAAGAGCTAGTGTTACGATGGGTTTTATTGATTAAGTTTAAGAAGCAGTCTTGCTGGGATAAATAGCATTTGATCAGGTATATGATTCTAAGACTGATAGACCCTAGTTTTAATAGTTCATTGAAGATATTTGAATCTATATCCATGGGTATTATTTGTCTAAGTTTTATTTTCCTGGCTGCTTTCAATATGAGAACAATTCTGTATTCACAACGTGAATTGCAAATATTCCCCCCTTTTCTATTTCTAGAAAATATTGTGAAGAATTCCGTAAAGTTTCTCTAGATTTTGCCAAGGAATCTATCTAGGAATGACGTTTTGATTTATTTATTGTTGTTTTTGTTTGGGTTCAGTTTTTCAAAAATGTTTTTCAGATAAAAATTAAAATTTTAATGGTACATTATTATTCAGCTGTTCTATTTCTTATGGAATCATTTTGGAACATTTTAGCCTTCAAGAAATTTGCCTATTCTGTTAACCTTTTTGAATTTGTGAGCATAGAGTTGTTTGGGCATTTCCTTATTTGCATTTTAATGCTTTTAGTATCAATAGTGATATTTACTATTTTTTCTTACTGACTTTTTTTTTTGTATCCTTTGTTTTCGTGGATAAGTTCTCTGATTTTCATTGTCTTCTGCATAACTTGGTCGATTTTTTTTTAGATCTATTGTACAAGTTGGGGATCAGTGATTTGAGACATTTCTGTTTTTTTAATACGTGCTTAGTTTTTAAATGTTTTTTAAATCACATTTTTACTTCATCTCACTATTTTTGCCACGTTGTGTTTTCATTTTTGCATTGTTCACGATGGACTGTCCTTCTCCCATCTGTGTATTCCCACTGACCTCGCTGTTAATGACTGAGCGCGTGACCCTGAAATCACTATACTCACAGGCGGATCCTGTTCTCCCTGCAGCTCTGCCAGCTTTTGTATTGCCTATGTTGAACTTCTCCTTCATTTTATGAATATCTAGGGATTTTATGCTATTAATGAATTAAGCACACCATCGTTAAAATTTTTTTATTTCTATTAATATTCTTTGCTCTAAAATCTACTTTCTTATTAATGTGGCTACTGCAGCTTTCTTTTGATTTTCACTAGCACTGCATATTTTCCCATCCTCTTTCTTTCAACTCTTTGTGTTTTAATTCCTAAGATTTGTTTCTTACAGCCTGCATGTGGATTTTGCTCTTTTATAGAAGACCAAAGCTGTCCAAAGGCAGAAGTATCTGAGTGCCTCTCCCTTTTGGTTAGAACGTTGAGGTCACTTGCATTGTTATGATTATCGGTTCAGTTACATGTAAAGAAATCATCAGACTATTTATTTTTTAATTTCCTATTTTATTTCTATTTGTTCCACACACATTGCTTCTACTTTTTCTTTTCTGACTGCTTTTGATTGATTACTTTTTCTTTCCTGACTGCTTTTGATTGATTTTTTTTAATAATTCAGTATTATCTTTGCAGGCTTTTTAATTACAACTCTTAGTCATGTAATGTTTGTAATAGGGTTTATTGCATACATTTTTAATTAGCAGTCTATGAGAGGCTTTTATGTTATTCTAACAATTCTTAGAGTATGAGAAACTTAATATATTTCTATTTCTCTATTTACATTCTTTGTGCTATTGTTAACATATTATACACTTATCCAACATATACACACCCATAAAGTATATTTATGCATATATGTACATGCTACAAACATCATACTATGTATCATTATGTATACATTAAACAGTGTATTTAAAATATTAGGGTACCAGAAAAGTCCTGCATATTTATTCATGTAAAACATTTCCTGCGTTCATTTCTTTTGCTGGAGTGACATCTACATTTGATAAGATTTCTCTTCTGCTTGAGTTTCTTTCATATTTCATGTAGCTCATACACTCTGGTTATCTTGGTTTTGAAAGATGTTTTGCTGACTAGAATTATGCATCTGTCAGTAACATCTCTCCTCTTTTCAGTATTAAACATGCTGCCCATTTCCTCGGTCTTAAATTTTCCAGGGGGAAACCTGGCTCCGCCTTTTATTCCTGTGCACACAGCAGCAGCCGAGGCTGGGTTTCCTGGACTACATGTAATATCCTTTCTTCATCTCTGGCTTTGAGCAATGTGACTGTCATCTAAGTTGATATAATTTCCCTCATGTTGCATTTTCATGAGGTTGATTCAGCTCTGGGGATCCAAGTCTTTAGGATTCTCCTTACTTTGGAAATTTTTCAGTAATTCTCCCTAAATATTTTATTTTTTCAACCTTTCCTTTCCTTTAGGGACTGCAGTGCCACAAGGGATCCAGAAATCACACTGTGCGATGCTTTTTCAAAGCTCCCCGAAGCTCTGCTTACTTTTTTTGTTCTGCTTTGTTCTGAGGTGAACTGCCTTGCTCTCTGAGTATATTATTTGGATAGTTTCTGTTGCTAGGTGTGCAATTTGACAAGCATTGTTTGCAATATGTAATGTATTGTCAATACCAGTATTTTTATGTCAGACATAATTCGCATCTCCTTGACATTTAATTGAATTTTTTATATCTTCTCTATCACTGTTTTCATGTGTAACATTTGCAATGCAGATATCTTCACTGTGTAAATATGCTTTCCTATTAATTCTGAAATCTATGTTGATTCTGATTGATTTTCATTCTTTTTGGGTCTCATTTTTACTTCTTTGTATTTGCTAATTTTTTGTGGATGGATAAGACACAGGGAGTTTCACCTCATTGGACACTTTTGCATTCATATATGTGTCCTAAGCTTTGTGGTAGAACACGGATCCACTGCTGGGAGACCCTGACCCAACCCATTCACACTTCCTGCTAGGACTTGTAGTCAGGTCCAGGGCAAGGCTGTGCCCAGGGCTGATTAGTGCCCCACCCGGAAGCAAGGTTTGTGTCAGCACAGGTGCCATTGTCTGCAGTGGTGTTGGCTGTCCTTTCCCCAGGCTCAGGAAATCTTCTCTCATGCATGTAGATATCAGTATGTAGATATCCTGAGTGGATGTATCAGCCTGTAGATAGCATGTGTGCATGCCTAGGCATGTAGATATCATGGGTGCATGTAGATATCATGGGTGCATGTATTGGTGTGTAGATACCATGGGTGTGTGTGTTGGCATGTAGATGCCATGTGTGAATGTATCAATGTGTAGACATCATATGTGCATGTATCAGAGTGTAGACACCCTGTGTGCATGTTTTGCTGTGTAGATATCATGAGTGCATGTGTTGCCATGTAGATCCCATGTGTGCATGTATCATTGTGTAGACACAGTGTGTGTATGTATCAGTGTGTAGACACTGTATGTGCGTGTATCGGCATGTAGATATCTTCTTAACTCCTTGGTGTACTCCCTTTAAGCAGGTAGCTTCTCTTTGCCACTGTACTTAGGAAATTCAAGCTGCTCTGATGTCCCAAGCTCTTCTCTCTGTCCTTCAGCCCTGGGAGCTGATCAATTCTGGTTTAAAAATGTTCTCTGAAAATTTAAGAGACATTTTGATTTCTAAGTAACCACACTTTGGTTGACTTAGGTAGCCCTGCTGAACTGTCTTGCTACTCAGTGCAGACTATTAATGTTCCTAATAGCCTGAATTCTTCTCTGCTCTTTTAGAATTGATTGCATAATAGTCTGTGCCATGTCTAGCAAGGTAGAGTCACCTACCCTGTGGTAGACACCAGCTGCATAGGAATTTTCAAGGGTTGTATATACTGAGGTTAGCTTTGAATAACTTGAAGAAATGAGAACAAGTAAGGAGACAAATGCTGGGTCAGACCTTACATTTTAAAATATCCTTCACTCAGTAAAACATCACCATCATGAAGATGAAAGCAACCAGAAGCATTTATGACAAGTCTACAAAACTACTATGTGGTAACCCTAAGGTCAATAGAATGCATTAGACTGTCTCTGCGCTGGAGAAAAAAATAAAATAAATGGTTAGCCAGAAAAAGAAGACACAAAATCAAACTTCTGTATGTAGTGTTTTAAAGACATAGGATTCTTTTAAATCATTTTTTCAAGTATATGTTAATTGCGAAGCAGAAAAAAGTTTATTTAAATTTAAGTGGGAGTTTATCTCTTATGTTTGCTTCATAGCAAGTATATGATGGGATGCAGGTGTTTATGTGTTTTCTGCATACTTCTTTATTCACAGTACATAGATTTTCAGAGGTTTGGTATACTGCTGTTCTCTGAATGAAACCAAAATGCACACTTTTGTGTTTGTTTTCAATCTAATGGTTTTCAGCATTTTCTATGTTGGTACAATGTGGTAGAATGTGCAATGCAGCAATTTTGCTCATGTGGCCCAAATCAAACCTCAAATGCAACTTAAATCTGCGGTTCCATGCCATTCTTTTCCATTACCTGCATGACAAGTAAAGGGCTCGGGGGCTGCGCAGTGGCTGCAGCCTCTCCCGAGACTAAATGCCACTGGCTTCTCACACTGACCCCCTTTAGACAGGAGTTTGCCGAAGTAATTTGTCGGGATGAGAGCACACTGGCTTAAGGTGGGGTCTGGAACAAGTGCTGGGTGTCAGTCCGCTTATGTTGCCATAACAAGATCCCCAAGCGGGTACTTCATCAGAAAACGAGGATTGCTCAGCTCAGTTGCGCAGGGCGGAAGTCCAACACCTGCAGCTGCACCTCTCCGGCTTCTGGCTGGGCCTCTGGCTGGGCCTCTGACCCCTTCCCGGCACGTGTGTGGCACCACTGTGGGCGATCACGTGGCAGGAAGCCAGCAGCTGTTGAGCAGCCAGGCTTGCTTGTTCCTTCTGACTTCCTGGATCGGGGACTGACGGTGGCCTGTGGGACCAACCCGCTCCGTGACCGCATCAATCCCTTCCTAAGGGGAAAAGGCTGCCATCATCTCCGCCCAGGCCCAGCTCACAGAAAGCCACCTCTCAGTCCTGCTGTGTGGGGACCACAGGGAGCCGTGGGAGGTGAACTCCAGCCAGCCACACCCCGCACCATCTTTACAGATGAGGACACAGTGTCCTTCTACGAAACCCCTGAGTTTCAGCCTGCGTGGTACCATTTTGGCTCATGTGGGCACAGCTGTTTCAAGGCCGTACTTATTTCTGGTCAGAAGAAATGTGTCACAGTTAGACAGCGGCAGAGCCATCGTGGGTGTCCCCAGCACAATTCATCCTCCACAAATCCCCTGCCCCAGGCTCGTTGCTGCTCGGTAGCTTGATCTCCACCCGGACCTGCTCCGTGTTTCCAGTTTGTATTGACAATTGCTCCTCTGTTTCTTTCTCTCTCACCTTTCTCCAGTCTTTTTCCTCCATATATTTTACCTTGAATAATTTAGTTTCGAATTGCTGTCTTCAAGTTGACTGAGCTTTCTTGAGCAGTGTCCAATCTGCTATTAATCCTGCCCAGTATAATTTTCATCTCAGACAGTTTTTTCAGCTCAAGAATTTCTCTTTGGGTCTTTAAACACCTCCCTGAATGTTTGGTTACATTTATAGAACTTAATGTTCTTGCCTACTAATTCTATTAAAGGACTATGTGTGGGCGATCACATGGCAAAAAGGAAGCAGAGGCTGGAGCAGCTCATGCAGCCACCGGAAACTACCCAGGGCCTGACCCTCCCAGCAGCCTAGGAGGAGCCGACCCCACCCCAAGAGCTCACCCTTCTGCTCCTGGAAGTAAACTCCCTTTGTTAAACTACCCTGTTTGTAGTTATTTATCCACCATCCCTAGGTCATTAATGTAGCATATTCTAATTACAGTTAAAAATCAATTTGACTCTACCTCTGTTTTTTTCTAGAAACTTTACATAGTCTAATTTTTAAATCCCTGTAACAAAGTTTTAAAAATAGTTTCCATGAGCTGCATAATTAATTGTTTCCTTTGTCAGAATTATTTCCAAATATCACTGTTCAGCACGGTTGTTGTCTACTGGGAAGAGACCTCGTAAAGGGCGAGGCTGCTGTCCACAAAAACCTGGGATTTCCCAGAGAGGAGGCCACATGGCCCTGGGCCAGCCCAAACAGTGTCCGGCATTCCTGAAGTCGTCTGTCCGGCAGTGGAAGGTCAGTGTAACGGCCTGATACAGCTATTAAGAAATCCAGCTGAAGTTCAGCTGCACATGTTAAAAGTAGTGCGATATTCAGTTTTTCACTACAAAATAAATATTGATGACATATTCACTATAAAAGACGTAAGAGACAGAGAAGGCTGAAGACAGAGTTACATTTTGAGAAAACAAAAGAATCTGCATTGATCTCAAGTTTAATGCTGCTGTGGTTTAGATCTAAAATGTCCGCAGATGGCTCCTGTGTTCAGAGCCTGGTTTGGAGGGTCCTGGGGCCTGTGCCCATCCGTGGTTCATCCGTGGATCATGCGTGGCTGATGCAACCTTAGAGCTGGGCCTGGCTGGGGGCCCTGGGGTGACCCGGAAGGGGGGCTCCTGTCCCGGCTCCTCCTTCCCTCTCTGATTCCTGGCCGCGGCACATGGAGCAACTTTCTTCCCCAGTTCCTTCTCCCATGCCATTTCTGCCTTGGAGCCTGAGACCATGGACTGCATCTTCTGAAATGTGAGTCAATACAAACCTCCCCTCCTTTAAATTGTGGGTGTCAGATATTTTCAGCAGAGTGAAAATGGTTAATATAAATACATGTACAAGCTTCTACAACTAATCCGGTAAGCACACAATGTTAATAATGTTAGTACAGTACTAGTGAGTAACTCACCACAAGCCAAGCTGATCTTTTCTTTCAGTCTCTGGACTCAAATCTGAAAGGAGTAGGAAATAAAGACCTGGAAAACATAGGAAATTCTTTGCACTGTCATCTTTTTCTGGAAACTAGCATAATCTGAATAATACTGGATACAGTTATATAGAGGAAGCTGCTTTTTGGCAAGTGGTTAGAACCTCAGATTTTCCTTCCAATTCTTTACGAACCTTACAAAATAAACTTGCCTTCAGAATAGATTGTTCAACAGGTAAGGGGAGTAGCCTTCCTGGTGCTTGCAGGAATAACTGTGTTTGGTTGCCATTGTGTGACCTTGATTTATTTAGCTGGTTGGTCCTTAGATACTTCATGCAGTTCAGTATTCTAAGGATTGGTCAGAAAAAGAAAGTTTGAATGTCCTTAATGGGGTCATTAGTGATATTGCTGAAAGAAATTAAACTGAAGGACAATCTCAACAAACCTCTTTTTAGTACTAATAGCATACCCCTGGAGAAGTTAATAGCTGGTGTAAATTGGTGTCTATTTCCTTTATCTCATTTTCTTTATCTGGCTTAAGTAGATAACGGATGATTACATTGAATATAAATTAGAAGCATTGCCTGTTTTCTAAACTTGACTCTTATAAAAATAAATGTATAGACCTTTATAAATTCAAGGAGAAATTTTATGGACAGTTGATAGTACTTTTCAAAAGTTAGTACTTTTTATGGACAATAATAGAACTGTATCATTTTTCAAAGTGGAATGACAATGAATTTATGATTCAGCCGTTTAATTCAGTTTTGATTTGTGACTAATTACCCCAGGTGATGAAGGCTTAAGAATCCCAGTCATCAGAAAAGAAAGCTTAATCCAAAGAGCTTCCTACAATGTGAGACAAAAGGAGAGAGTCCAGGAGACCATGGAGAGGGCTGCAGGACAAGGGTTGACTCTCACGAGGACCTAAGTACTAAAGGGCGTTACCAGAGCCTCACTCTGCGGGGCTCAGATTGACAATGATTAAATACGCCTTGCCTGTTCTTATAGGAATCAATCAGCTAATAAAAATGAAAGAAATCTATAAAGTAATTCATTGAAAAAAGAGATTTGAGCGTTACTACTGTTTCATATCACAGCTTACGTTTACTTGCCCTTCTAACCAGCAAAAGAGCCTTTAGTCACAATCGCCTTTGTTTTTTAAATAAATGAAACAGACACAGGATTTCAAGTGCACCTTGTAGCTAGACCTGTAGGCTGGAAAATAGAATTTGAGTAGTTTATACATGCAGAAAAACTGGAAATTAGGATGCACAATGATAGATCCAACATAAATTCATAATGACACATATTAAAAAGAAAAATAAAACATGAAAAAGCGCATTGGAACTGCTAAACAAGTTTGAAAGATCACAGGATACAAAACCAATATGAAAAATTAACCTCATTTATGGTAATATGAAAGGGAATAAAATGGTTAGGGATACATTTTCCAAGAGAAATGTGATTTTGGCACACCAAAAACTACAAAACTGATGAGAAAAACAAAAGATCTAAATGAATCAGGAAGTATTCTATATTCTCAGCTGGAAGACTCAATTTTGGTAAGACACCATTTCTACTCAAATTGACATATGAATTTCAACTGAATTACTATCAAAATCCCTACAGACTTGAGGGAAAAAGTAAGAGAAACTAAAATTTGATACAAAAATTTTATATGGAAATGAATCATATTTGAAACCAATTGAGCTTTAGAAAAGGTGTACAAAGTAGTAGAATTCATATTACCTGATTTCAAAACATACCATAAAGTTATGATGCTCAAGAACCTACAATATAGGGAAACAGCAAGTGAGGTTAACAGGACGGAACTGAGAACTCAGAAATTTACCTTTACCTATTGCTTTTGACCAAAGGGGCAATATCATTACATGGGACCGAGGATGGCAGAATGATTGAATATCTACAGAAAAAAAGATTAATGAGGAGAAACAGAGTAAAAAGGAGCCGTATTACTACCGCACCCTATAAATAAAAATAACTCACAATATATCATAGACCTAATGTAAAATCTAATACAAAGCTTCTGGAAGAAAACGAATGAAAAGGTATAAATCCTTGTATTGGGCAAACATGTCTAAATATGACACCAAAGTCAAAATTAGAAAGAAAAGAGGTAGGAGCAACCCACTTTCCAGTCCCTCTTCTGTCTTTCTTAGAAGCTATCTTTCGCTCAATAAATTCTTCCTACACTTAAAAAAAAAAAAAGAGAGAAAGAAAAGAGGTAAATATGTTTTAAAGAAAATTAAGACACTTTTGCATTTTAAAAATATAGAGAAAAGGAAAATATAAACCACATACTAGGAGATATATTTCCCCAGAACATATATCTAATAAAGTAAAGCCAAAATAGATTTTATTGATAAAATCTTTGTATTTTAATAGGACAAACAACTCTTTTTCTAAATTTTTTAAATAAGACATAGGAATCAGTAGTAAGCACATGTTAGTCAGCTTTTTATAGCTTTAATAAAATGCCAGATGTAAGTCAACTTGAAGAAGAAAATGATTATTTAGGCTCATGTCTTCAGATTGTTCAGCCCATGGCCAGTTGCTCCATTGCTTTTAGGCTGTGCAAGGCAGAAACATCAGGGTGTGAGGGTGATTGGAGGAAAGGTGCTCAGCTCATGGCAACCAGGAAGCAGAGAGGGAGGGAAAAAGCCAGGGAGGCAGGGTTCGGAGCCAGATATTGTCCCTCAGTTCATGTCCCCGATTCACCCCCTTCTCTAAGTCCCCTCCTCTTTCCATCGCCTGCCAATAATGCCATTGCCTTATGTTCTCATCAATGGACTGATCCTCTTGCTCTAGTCAGAGCCCTGAGGACCAATTGCCTTCCAAAATTCACATCCCTGAGCACAGGAGAGGACTGGGGGATGTTTTAGATCTGAACCATGATGAGCAAATAAAAAGAGGTTTGGGATCATTAGGCAAATGGACAATGCAAATTATAACCACATTAAGGTATCACCATAGGTCCCTGGAAAGACAGGAACAAGAACAAACCGGTAAGAACAAGTTTGGGTGAATGCAGAGAAACTAAAATTCAGACATTACTGGAGAAAAAGCAGACTGACAGAATCAAAGTGGATAGTAATTTGCCATTTCTTAAAAAGTAAAACATAAACTCACCATGGAACTCTGCATTTTTTTCTCCTAGGAATCCAATCAATGAAAGCATGTATTCACATGCAGATTTGTACATGTTTATAAATCGGGAAATTATTCCTATTAGCCAAAATACAACAATGTGCCTATTGCTGTCAACTGATGAAACATGGTCTGTGCATCTAAAACAATACTACGTACAAAATGTACTATGTAGTGTGTGCTAAAAATGTAGGAACTACTGATGACATACTTGTTCTGAAAAGCAGGTATTAAATACTTCAGACTTCCTGGGCATACAGCCGCTGTGATTACATCTCAGTTCTGTGGTTTCACTGAGCAAACGATCATGAATAGCGCCTGAACAGAGGGACACAACTGTGGCCCCAGGAAGGTGGGTTTGTACCAATGCAAGGCCGGCTCACAGAGCAGGCTGTGCCGACGCCTGTCCTGAGGAAGAGAAGCAGATATGAGAGTCTGGCTGTGATGCAAATCAGTGTACATTCACCATCTAGGGCTGACTGAACACGGGCTGAGGAAACTTCTAGAGAATGTGACGACACTGTCGAGCTGAACTGGGGTGATTCTGGCACCGGGTGAGTACACATGAACTGTCCTGGATGGTCCACTAGCACTGGTGAATTTTGTGATCTGTAACTTATATCAATAAAGCTATAATGAAAAAGCACATACAAAAAGCAACCTAAACAGAATAAATTCATTTCTCCAAAATTGCAAAATGGCAAAGTGATTTATTTCTACAACAAGTAATTGTAATGTCTGTACTCTTCTTCCAGGTGAAAAACTCCCAACTATTTGTAGTGAAGTCTGAAGATGTACCCCATGGACACAAGACCAGAAAGAAAGAGAATTTTCAAAGCAAGTTTGCCTGCTTCTCTTCTGTTGGATTTTCCGGCTTCTAAAGGGTCCTCCCCACAGCTCTTGATAAGGGGTTCAGACCAAGCTTGGTAGACAGCTGCTGTCGCCCCTGTTGTAGAAGATCCAGTGCAATTAGAAGACCTTGGGGTTCTGGTGACTTTTGAATGAGCAGGTGTGTGAGGCCAGTGATATCAGTATAATTTAACATTTAAAAAAATTTTTTTTAATTTTAAAAATAACATACAAAAAATTAAAACCATTCAAAGAAGAACAATGCAAGGGGAAAATATCTCAATAATATTCAAACACAGTAGAACTCAACCAAAACAAAACTGGAAAGCACTGAAACATTTTTCCATATAACTTAAAAGAGTATCTCAAGCACCAACAAGACACCAGAGGATGTGATTTGTTTCAGAAAGATCCCCAAAACTAACATTGGACAAATAATGATCTGGAAAAAACTCCAGTTAGTTAGCAGACTCCACATAAGCCAAACTTCTTCCTAATTTAAATTTCGATATAGTCATATGACATGCGATAGAAACACAATCCGGAAATATGTTATTAGGCCATTTCATCTGTGTGTATCCTTATTTACACTTTCAGTTTCTCACACTAGAGAAACTATTTGGTATTTACACATGTGTGTCCTATTTATTTCACTTAAGAATATGGCCTCAATATGCATCCATTTAGCTATAAATGACTCTAGTTTTTCTTTCTTTATGGCTGAGTAGTACTCCATTTTATAAAAAAAAAATCTTCTTTATCCCGTTTCCAGTTGATGGGCACTTGGGCTGTTTCCAAGCTTTCGCTATTACCAACTGTGCTGCTATGAACATGGGTGCACATATATCACTGTGGTATGATTCTTTTAAATCTTTTGGGAAGATACCCAGCAGGGGGATGGCTGGGTCAAATGGGACCTCTAAACCTAGTTCTTTGAGGTATCTCCAGTATAATTTAGCATTTTGATGAATATCTGTGAAAGTGGAAGCAAGCACATGAGGGTATATATGTATAAAATAAACTCATGATACTGAATAAATTTGAAAGATCCAGAAATAACAATAATAATGCCGAGAGAAGTGAGCAGAGCGTAGCCACAGCATCTTCAGATCACCGTGTGGCTCTTGGAGGTCTTCATAGCTTTAAGGCAGTGGGGCTCTGCTGTTCTGAGTGATTCTTATGTGCCCTGTTCCCCTCTCACAAGTGGCTTGGCTTGCAGATACAGGCTGTGGCCCCAAGCCATGGAGGAGCAGGTTCTTTGTCCTCTAAAGGATGAGGAGCTCCGAAGGATAGCGGCCTGTGATCCCAGTGTGGAAGTCGGCAGAAGGGGCACTGTGTCCTTGGTGCTGAGGGGTCTTGCCAAGGACACAGGCGGGCAGCTGGGTGTGGTGGACTCAGGGCGGCTGGGTCTGCTCTCCGATCCCGGAGATGTGCAGTGGGGCATATGCGGTCCCACACTTGGACGAGTCTTTAAATCACAGTGAATCTTTCTTTCTTAAAAGGGGGGAAAAATGAATCAAGACACATCATGTACAGGCACAAATTCCATATAATGAATATGGTCATTATATATATCTAAACTGTACCATAAACTTAATGATAAAAGGGGTGATTTTTGTCCTCTAAAGATTGGATAGAGGACTGTGTTTTAATGTCTCCCTGTGCTTTGCGGTACTGACCTGGGAATTCAGATTACCCAATGATCTGGCTGGGTATTTTGAAATGCTGTGCAAATAAAAAGTACCTACTCAAAAATGCTTAAATCTGCTGAATGCTTTGAAATTCAGCATAATTCACTATTAATATTATAGTGTCATGCCACAGTTTCGGTTATGTAAGTAACTTCAATCCCATAAAAAATTCACAAGCAATAACACTACTCTAATTCTAAGGAAAAGCACTAGACAGCTGAATCAACTAAATAGCTAAAGTGTCTGGCTCCTCAAGCAAGTTTTAAATGAAATAAATTCTAATTTTTATTTTTAAAATACTTTACAT